GGGAGCGGCTCCGGGCAGACAGGCCTGAACGCAGACCCGAGGGAGCGGGGCTGAGGAGGGCTCAGGCGCTGACAGCAGCCGGCAGGGGAGCAGCAGGGCAGCGGAAGGTTCCGGGACTCGGGACTCAGGTAGCCCTGCGCTCCTGACGCAGCAGCCTGCCTGTCAAAAGGAGCGGAGAAAGCCGGCCGCCGCGGAGCCCACGCACCGCAGGGAAGGGAGCTGGGGAAGCTGAGAGCCGGCCGCGTCCCGCGCTCGGCAGCTTGGAGGCCACTGGGACCAAAGGCAGAGGCGCCGCAGGGAAGCGGCCAGGGGCAGCCCGGCCGCCGCACAGGCCGTGACCTCCATGGGGAACTGCAGGCCGCAGTCTCTCCGCCGAGCAGCGTGGGGCCCCCGCCGAGCAGTGCGTCTGGCCAGCGTAGGGGGACAGGGCTCTGCAGGACACAGGCGGGGTGCCGCGTCCACACAGTGGCCGCGCCAGGGTCAGCTGACCCCGCCGTGCCTGGGACTGTCCCCGCAGGAAGCAGGGCCGCAGCTGCCTCTGATGAGCCTCCACCCTGAACGGGAAAGCGGAGGCGGGAGAACCAAAGAACGGGGGTGGGGAGTCAGTCCGAAAAACAAGGGCAGGAGCGGCCAGGGCCCCGGGCCCCCAGGCACCAGGGTCGCACCCGGAGGTGCCGGGCTGGCGCGGGCAGTGGGGCAGCCCCGCTCTGCCGGGCATCAAGGCTGAGTCTGCGGTCGGTCTCCACTTGGTCAGAAGGGCCTGGCGCCGGCCTAGGACAGCGGTCAGTGTGAGCCGAGCGCCTGGGGCAGAGCCCGCCTCCCCAGGGCCCCTCCGTGAAGGCCCTCATCCTGCCTGCGGCAGGGACACCGCCTCGCTCCTGCCCCCGCCCCCGGGAACGGCCTGGCCTGCCGGGACCGCAGGCCGGAATGGCAGGAGGAAGCGGCACTCGGGGAGGGGCGCAGTAGGTCAAGGGTGGGCTCCGAGGGGCAGGCGCGGTTGCCGCGCAAGGCCGTCAGCTCGGCGAGAAGAGGTGGCTGTGTGACGCGCACTCTATGCGTTCAGTCCCACGGGCTGCCATCGCGCAAAGCAGAACAGCGCCCGGAAGCAAGGAGCCCCGTCCGGGGGCGGGGGGAGCAGCACAGCCCTCTCAAGTGTGACAGGACACAGGCGACTTGAGGCTGCACACGCTGGGAAACCTGCGCCCGCGGTCGGGGAACACAGGTCCTTTACAAACGCGACAGACCCCTGCAAACACAGGCCACCTGCCAGATGCGACAGCCTGGGGGTGACCGTCCCAGATGCAGGCTTGTTCGGGGACCAGCACAGGCCCTGGGGCCGGGGGGTGGGGTCTGACTGGTGGGGGTGGAGCTCAGGCAGGACCCCACAGCCCCGAGGCTCCTGAGCCGCAGGTGCGAGCAGCCCGACCACTTCGGCTGGAGTAGCGCTGATGACAGCGGACAGGGTGCAAAGGGGCGCCGTGGCGCACGCCGGCGTCACGTGGACGCTGGCAAGCGCACACTAGGCCCCATGCGGAACGCACACCCCGGCGGCCTGGGTGGGGGCAGGGGCGCCAGAGGGCAGGAGGGTCTCTCAGGGCCCAGAGATGTTGGGGACGGAGCTGTGTGCCGTCTTCACAGCTGCACACATATGTCCAATGTGTCAGGCTGCCCACACGAGATAAGTCATCTACAATGACGCTGTGGACACAGCAGCCACAGTCCACTGGGCGTCCTGCCGTGACAAGAACTCCTGCCATCGCCACATAAACACCGGACAGTTGACCCCTGAATGCTGCGGGGGTGACAGACCCTGACCTCACGTGGTTGGAAATCTGTGTGGAGCCCTCGACTCTACAAAACTTTGCCGTCCCTGGGTGTCTGTCGGGGACTGGTTCCTGGACCCTTCCCCCATCGCGACACCAAAACCCACAGGTGCGCAGGTTCCCTGTGCACGGGCCTGCGCAGCCTGACCTCGTGTCACACAAGGATCCAAGCCAAAGCCGCGCTCGTTCTGCCGGGAGGGGCAAGGGGGCAGGACGGAGACGCGCAGGCTGCCCCTCTGTGCCAGAACGACCCGCCGGACCGAGGGGGCGGGGGGAGCCCGCCTGTCAGGCGCCTGCGGTGAACAACAGGGAGTCGCTATGCAAAGCGGGAGGTCGCTGCCGCAGAGAAGGGGCCTCAGGGACAGTGGGGTGGGGAGGGGACCCAGGGGCCACTTACATTCAGGGCAGGAGTGTGCGCGCTTTAACGAAAATTCGCCCCCCAAGCACGGGACCCAGGGGCAGGTGAGAACACGTCCAAATGCCTGCCCCGCGGCTCCCAGCAGCACCGGGCTCCGGGGCGGAAGCGACCCCAAGTCCAGCCTGGTGGGTGGGCACGCCACGCGTGGCCCACACAGCTGACTATCCGGCCACACAAAGGAAGAAGGGAAGCGCCGGCCGTACACGCCACTGTGAGCCTCGGCAACACGATGTGGCCGCCCGCCCCCAGTGCCAGGGGCCCCTTCGCAGGACCCGGCAGCGCAGGCCACCCAGGGGCAGAGCGTGGCAGCGTGCGGGTGGCAGGCGGTGGCTGGAGGGTCAGGCCTCCTGTGGGGGGCGCGGAGCTCCGGACGTAGAGCGCAGAGACGGCGCTGGGAACCACGCACCGCACGCTCTCACGGGTCAGCCGTGTGCCGGGGGTTCCGTGTCAGCGACGCTGCTGGCGGAGGGCAGGTCGGGCTCCCGCAGCTGGGCTGCCGTGACGCGGGTGGCAGTTTGCTGGTCTCTGCCCCAGCTCCTGACACGAGCGCCTGAGTCCTCGGAATGGAATGTCCTGGGTGGCGGGCCTGGCTTTTGTTCTCCCGAGAACGCCGGGACGCTCCCGGGCTAAGCTGGCCAGCAAGGAGACCAAGCTGGGGCCACACGTCAGAGCCTTCAGCCCCACCCCCACCCTCCGGGGGCAGGGGGCATGGACGGCCCCGGAGTAAACAATCGATTGTGCCTGCCGGAGAGGCCCCGCAAACCCCTGGACCTCGAGGCTCGGGGAGCACCAGGTCCCGCCTCCACGGGGAGGAAGCGCCCAGGCTTCCCTCCGTGTCCTCTGTGATGAACCGGCACACCCAGGGGAGCCTCCCCCAGTCCTGTGAGCCATGCTGGCGAGCGCTCAACGCCAGGGGAGGGGGCGGGGGCGGGGGCAGGGGGCACGGGGACCCCGATCCGCAGCTGCGGGACGGGACGAGGGGAGGGCAGACCCCCTCCTCGGGACGGGCTTCTGCAGTGGAGGCGGCGGGCGGGGAGTCCTCAACCCGCGGGGCGCGGTGGGTCAGCCTGAGCGGGCTGGGGACACCGGGCGGGGGGCTGGGGCTCTGAGTAGAGGGGACAAGGCTCTCCTCCGGCTGGTGTCTCCAGTCACCGCTGCAGACGTATGCGGGGATCCGTACTTGCTGATGGACCCCACACTCTGAATAAGCCCCAAAGGGACCTCAAAATCCAAAGCACGGCGGAGCCCCGGAGCCCCGAGGCGGCCCAGAGCAGCCCCACCCGCTGCCCGCCCCTCCCCCGCGACACCAAGCCCAGGGCTGACATCCTGCCCACCAGGCCTGTTGTAGCAACGGCCCCGCGGGCTCTGCCAACAGGAAACTCTGGAATCTCACAGCCATTCCAGACAGGCCGGCCCGGACCAGTGGGGCCATGGGCCCCGCCTTCCCCAGGGGCAGGTCCTGGCTCCTGCGCCTGTGTGGGTGACCACAGGGCTCTAGCCACGTCTCCCACAGCCAGCGGGCGGCGGGCTCCGACGAGAAAGTGGCCCCGTCACACACAGGACCCGCGCGTGGACAAACCGGGGCTCGCCACGCACCCGGCTTCCCCCTGGGGGGAAGGGGCCCAGACCGTGGCTGCAGGAGTGGCAGCTGGGAGGCCGTGGGCCCGTGCGTGGCCTCTGAGTCCGGTGCTGGACGGTCGGCAGCTGTTTACCCAAAGGAGCCCCGACCCGCATCTGCCCAAACGCCCTGCCATCCCCGCCCGGCCCGGCCCCTCCACGTCCGCATGGGTGGCCCCGCGCAGGGCCGGACGGCAGCAGGGCCACCAGGCCCCGCAAAGAGGCCTGCCCCCCCGCCGAGCGCAGAGCCTGGCCCCGCTGCCCCCATGCCCGGCCACAGGCCCCCAGGCCTCCTGCCCGCCCCCCCACCCAGGCAGTCCCACTGCACATCTGTCGACACAGTGGTGGCGTCTCCACACTTGTCTCTCAAAAATCTGGCCACCACCGTGGCTCTGCCAGGCCGGAAACCAGGACACACAGCACGCGCCCGGCAGGCCCGCCGGGAGCAGCGCCAGGCCTCCGCGTCCCCGGACAAGAAGGGCACGGCAGAGGCCGCACCAAACGCCACCGGGACGGACTCGCCTCTGGAGCGGGACAGGGTGCAGGGTGTGGGGAGCCGTGCGACGGGGCTCAGACAGCTGCGTGGGGGCCTCTGTCCAGGCCCCCACCCCCACCTCCGCCCCCAGGGAGCCACCCCACGCCGTGCACCCCAACTGCACGAGCAGGAAGAGCTCGCCGTGGAGAACGCGCGAAGCGTGGGCAAGCGGGAAGACCACCGCCGTGCCGGGAGCCGCTCCGCGTCACGGTCTCGTCTGCACGTGGCCTGCGTGTCGTCACGCCTTGGCCCCACCCGCCCAGCCTGCGGCTGCTTCCCTGCCGTGCGCTTTTGTAGCCAGGAGGCTCCCCGCGTCACGAGGTGCCAACATCTCAGTCCGGATTGTCACACGGCCCCCGTGTCAGCCGCTCGAGCTCTGCCACGAACGCCTGAGCCCTGGACGTACCCCGGCGCCCCCTGGGGCCGCGATTCCCAGGGACAGAGCTGCCGCGGGGGCAGCACCTGTGCTGCCCGGAGCCCCCTCCCCGGCCCCGAGGGCGCTGTCGTCTGAGGGAAGCTGCCCTCGCTTCACAGGAAAACCTTGACTCCACCTCAGAGCAAGGCTGGGCATGGGACGGGGCCGCAGACGCGACATCAGGGGACTCACCAAGCTCCTTGGAGCCCTGGCTCTCGCTGGCCAGCTCGCCCATCTTCACGAGGGCATCGAAATAGCCTTTGGCAGCGTAGGTCACACCTGGGGGAAGAGGGGGAGGTGAGTCCCCTTGGGGACAGAGCGGACCGCACAGCACGTGGCCCTGGCGAGGCCAGCCCTCCCCGGGACAAGACACCCTTCAGTCCAGGCTCCGCCCGGCTCCTCTTTCGTACCCCCCGCCCCCGCCGCAGGGCGGCTCTTCTAAGAACGCAGTGTGCGCCCGGGGGCAGAGCCCGAGTCCAGGCACGGGAGCCGCTCCCCGCCGGCCCTGCCACTCGAGACAAACCTGGCCTGAGCTCCGCCCCGGTCTAGGAGCTGGACCCGCGGCTGGGAGTGTGTCGCGCTGCTCAGATCTACCAGGGTCACCACGGCCAGTGGGCAGTGGGGGGGGCAGCGTATTCACAGGGGGCCCTGACTTCTCCTGGGACTCGGAATGCTCTGGGCCGCCGAGGGGACGGCGGTGACCTTCCCGAGGCCCCGGGTGCGCCCTGCAGCTGAGGGAGCAGCCGCCAGCCCAAGCCTCGTGCATTTTCGATAGAACCTGGTGAGCCCCCTGTAAAGGGGCACTCGCACACGGTCTACCGGGGCAGTTCCAGTTGGGTGTGTGTGGCTCTGCGCCCCAGCAGGCCGCCCTGGCTGCTGCAGGAGGGCGGCCTTCTCGGACCCCACGGAAAAAGGCCGCGCTGGGGCCCAGCCCGGCCCTGGAGGGGCCCAGCAGAGCGGCGGCGGCGGCAGGGCAGCCAGGCTCTGGTGCAGCCCAGGGAGACAGGAGGCGGACGCCTGTGCTTCTCCACGCACAGCCCCGCAGCACCGCGGGGGCCCAGGTCGGGACGGAAAGGCCCGGAAGGCAGGAGGCGGCCGGGCCTTGGCCAGGATGTGGCGCGCCTGGAAGTGAGGCTGCCCTGCCCCAGAAACGCCCCTGGGGCTGCGAAGCTCCCCAAGATGGTGGCCCTCAGAAAAGGAAGCGCTTGCTGGTCCGATCCCGGCACTTTCGGTTCCCGCTCCACGTGCAAGAGGAGGCTGGGCCCAGCCGGGGGGAGGTGCAGGAAGCTGGCCTTGCGCCACGGCGGGACGAGCGCAGCCCTGGCCCAGCCGCTCGCCGACGGCAGGCAGACCAGGGCCGGCCCCCGACGGCCTGCCGCGGCCTGTCCCGCAAGCGGGAGCTTCAGGGGATGGAACCCGACTCAGGACCTGGCACGTGGACAGCCAAGGGCTCTGCCACCAACTCCCGGAGGGGACGGAGGCCACCGCCACGGCCACGGCGCGGCCACGTCGTTGACCTACAGGCAGGGCCTCAGCTCAGGAAAGGACAGCTTCCTGTGATGGCTCTGAGGAGACAGAACCTGAGTCTGAGGGACGGTGCCTCCCTGCAGGCCCGTGAGGGCCTCAGGGCAGGGGTGGCTAAGAGGGGCCGGGGTGGCCAGAACTGCGTGTCCAGGCCATCACCCCACACAACGGAGACAGAGGGCGCTGACACCCTGCCCTCGGGCCCAGTCCCTGCGTACGCTGCTGCTCCCCCTCAGAGGGGTCCCCCTGCAGCAGAGGTCCCCTAGGAGGGGGACCCGGGTCATGGCAGAGTGCTGGGCTGCAGACCACCCGACAGGGCAGGCTCACAACAGGAGGCCCCCTCCACGCCCGGCCATGGCCAGCCACCCTCACCTGGACACTAGCAAGGAGGCCACCCTCCAGGGACAGGGCGGCTCTGGCCAGGTGCTGTCCCAGGTGATCGTGGCAGTAAGAAAAGGAGCAACAGCTCTGGCCTCCCCTTGTCACCTCCGACCTACTGCCCACCAACAAAGCCTCCCGGAACCTGGGGTCCCAGGCACCTCCCTGCTGGGTAGGGCGGGCGGGGGCTTTGCTCACAGTCAAGGGCGTCGGGACCAGCGGTCGGTGCCCCAGAACATGGCGTTCTGATGCGGGGGGCCCACACACTCCCACGGCCTCTGGCTGCACTGCACCCCCCGCGCCCCTCCCCTAATGCCCTGCGAGCTGCAGACAGTGCCCACGCCAGGCAGCGGTCTCGGGCCCCACACCCAAAGCCACCGCTTCCTCTAAGCCCTGATCCTTCCGCATCCACGCGGGCAGCACACCCTCCTGCCTCCTGGCACCCGACTCGGGGCTCTCGTCACAGCCGCGGGACAAGGCCGAGGGTGCGGCTGTCCCATGACCATGGGCAGGGGGCCAGCGCTCGGCCCCGCGCTCCGCCCCCCACCGCACCGGGGCCTGCGTCTCACCTGCCAGGGCCTTCTCGTAGTTCTTCCCCATGGCGATGAAGTTCCGCAGGCTGGGGTTGAACTGCTCCATGATGGTCTGGGGGAAGAGCAGAGAGCGCACGTCAGTGACCAGGACCGGCCGGGGGGCGATGGGGGGCCCATGCCCCCCGGGAGCACAGACAGGCTTCCGGGGCCTCAGCTGCGCCCTTGAAGGCCCTCGGGCACACGCCCTTCCCGCGCCTCTACAACGGGGACGCGAACGAGACTGGAACCCGCCGAAGCGGGCTCTGTGGCCTGCACGGGCAGACGTGCGCAGGGCATGGGGTGGCACGCGGCGGCGCTCAGACGCGTGGCCGTGGAGGGAAGGGCCTCTGCCCGCCGCACGCAGACGCTCCGCACCCGGAGCGCCCTCCCCCTGCAGCCCCCACTCAACACGCCCGTTACCCAACAGCAGCTCTGATCGGTGCCCGCGGCCTGACTCGCGCGCGCTGCTCTGCGAATGACCCGCCCGGCTCCGGTCTGTTCGCCCGACTGGCTGACGTCTCAGTGCCAGCGTCAGCAATTCTGAGACTGAAGAAATTAGATTTTCACTCGAAGGCCAAATAAACGTTTTAATTACAAGGCATAAAGACAGACACACGCGGTCAGAGCCAAGCGCGCACTCTCCCGGGGAATCTGCACCGGCTGCTGACAGCCAGCCCGCCGGCGAGGCACGGATGGACTCCCACGGAAGGCCGTCCGGGCCCCACGGTCGGGGCCCTCGTTCCTCCGCGCACCTGAGTGTCCCTGAGCACGGCCGAGGGAAGACCGCGGGCGGGGAGCCGCCAGCTCCTGTGGTGGACCGAAGAGGCCCTGGGCTCTGCCCTGGCCCCACCCCTGTCACGCGCCCTGAGCCAGTGCAGCCAACTGGGGACACCGGGCAGCGTGGTGGGATCTGGTTCCAGACAACCCGCTACCTGGCCCGAGCCTCCACTCACCCACCCGAGTCCAGCCGGGAGCACCAGCAGAGGGCCACCGAGTCCCACGCCGTGGGGGGTGAGCACTCACGTCTGAGAGGCCCCCTCCCTGGGTCCAGGCTGGGCCGCAGGCTCGCGGAAGTGTGCCCACCAGGCTCCACACCACGTGGGGCACGTGGGAAGGGAGGGGAGCGGCAGGGCAGGAGCGGGCCAGAGCCAGGGCAGCAGCGCCCCTTCCCAGCCCCGGGCCCCAGCACTGGGATCCTGCAGGAGCCAACGGAGGAGCCGCTCCAGGGCACAGGTAGCCGTTGGTCCCCGGACCCCGCAGGCTGAGAGCCTGGCGAGGCCTTCCGGCCTGGCCAGCCCCTAGCCACTCCCTGGATGGCGACAGCCACTTCGATTTACTTGGATCACGGATCTGCCTGGACAGCAGGGGCAAAGGGACGCGGGACACCGCGCCTGCAACCGGGGAACGGGGTGGGGGGGGCTTGGCTCCGGCCTCGCTCCAGCGCCCAGGGCGGCTCGGGGTCTGTTTGCTCCTTGGCTCCGGCCCAGCCGCGGCCCCTTTCCGGCAGCTTCCTGGAGGGGCTGCTGCAAACTGAGCCACACTCTCTACCACAGGCGGGAAGGGGAGGGCGCACCTTCTGCCTCCAGCCCCTCCACACGGGGGATGCGGCCTCCGTCCCCCATATCACCCTGAATCCTCGCCTGATTGCTCCGTGTGCAAACTGTCCCATTTTACAGCAAAGACAAGGAGGTCAGGAGCCCGCCAGCCAGCTCCTGTGTCAACCACAGGCTGGCCGGGCTCATCCCTCGGTCCACACGCCCCGGCACTGCCCCGACCAAGGCTGGCGGGTCCGGACCGGGTGCACCAGGTAGCTCTACCTGCCCAGGGCTCCCTGCTCCCCTCCCCAGGAGGGCTGGCTCCTGGCCATCTGGTCACGCAAGGACAGGGCCTGGTGCCTGTCCCATCTGCTCACCCAGGACACACAATCGGCAACCTCCAAGGGCCCTGGGGCCCAGCTGCCTCCAACCACAGCCCCTCGGTCGTGACTCGGCAGGAGAAGCAGGCGCCAGCTCGGGGCCCGGCAGGCCCAACCTCCTCTCGCGCCCCCGTCCGGGTCCCCGTCCGGACGCCACTGGAAAGCGGCAGCTCCCCTGCCCCCTGCAGCCCGCGGGGACGGGCGACGACCGGCTGGGGCTCCGGGCAGAGGGCGGTCTGTCCCTCTCTGAAACCCGGGACGTCCGTCCTGGGGACACTCCTTAAGGGAGTAAAACCAACGCCAGGAGTTCAGTGGATGCTGGAGAGCTGCCTGGAAGAGGCAGACTTGAGCTGGACTTCACGTGGTTGGAGCTGGGGGCAAAGCAGGCAGACTGGCAGCAGTTCCCTCCCCACACTCTCCACAAGACTCCCCCACAGGCCAGAGCCCCCCCCCCTGCAGACCACAAGTCCTCTTGGGGCGTAAGGCCTCCCCTCGGCCTGACAGCGTCCAGCAGGGACAGGGACAGGGACAGGGACCCGCGAGCGCACGGCAGGCCCAGCTGGCGCGGCCTCCACGGGGCCACGGGAGAAAGCACCGAGCAGGGCGGCACGGCCGAGCGCAAGGGTCCCACCCTGCACGAGGAGGAGGGTGGAGAGGGAGCGGAGGGTCGCTGGAGAAGGGCTGTAGCCTCGGCCGCGACTTCCCTGGCAGCTGCGGACGTCGCTTTAATAAAGGGAGAACCCGTGTCTCTGCCGTGGCGCCCGATGACTCGGGCCACCAGGAGGGGCTGAAGGGGGTGCCTCCTCCCTGTCACTGCGCTGGCCAGGAGGCCCTGGGAGAGGGGACAGCCCGTCTTGGGCTGAGTGACATCAGGACAAGATGTGGAATGTGGCCAACTCGCCTGGTGCCGGTCGAGGGCCAGGCCTCTCCGTGGGCCCCTTGGCAGGGGGGACCCGGGGCCACGCACAGATGAGGGCGGAGCAGCCTGAGCTCCCAGGGCCCCGAGCTCCCCCGACGTCTCGCGATTCCTTGGGACTGGGACCCCCGCATCCCCACCGCCAGCTGCCTCTTGGGGTCTGCAGCCCTCAGTGCCCCAGGCCTGCCTCCCCCAAATGAAGCCCCCGCTGGCTCATGCAGGCCGTGGGGCGGAGCGCGCAGGACGGGGCCTGGCCCACTGTGAGCCGCCCCCACCGGAACCGGACAAACCCCATCAGACCGGGAGCCACGAGCAGCAGGGCCCAACACAGGCCCCGCCAGCCCGGCCACTTCCTTCCTGTCGAGTGGCGTGTCCTGCCGGCCCAGGGCTGAGGGCTCAGGGCCCCTGGACGGACGGCGGGCCTAGGCCCCACCGGCTGGCCGCGGGGGGGAGAGACCGCCCCGAGGGGGGCCCTAATTCAGGCAGGGGGGCCCCCGGGCTTGAGGCACCGGTGGCCCCAGAACCGCCACTCACTGCCACTTTGACAGCCAGCACCCAGAGAACCCCCACACCTGAGGTGGGAGGTGATGGCGCCCCGGATTTGGGAGGCTGAACTTGCCCCTTAAGTTTTCAAGTGTTGAAGGCCTGACCCCCTGCACCTCCGAAGGTGACCATTTTGGAAAGAGAGGCTCTGCTGCCGTCATCAAGCCAAGAGAACGTCATCAGGGCGCCCCTAAGAGAAGAGGAGATGCCCGAGCAGGGTGACCCCGGAGGACGCAGGAAGGGGCAGCCGCCTGCCAGCTGCGGACGGGTGCCCGCACCCCGCGCCCGCGCTCTGGCCCCAGCACTGAGAGGCAGGTGTCCGCCGCTCCGTTGCCCGGCCAGAGGCGCTTGCCCAACGGCCAGAGGCGCTTGCCCAATGGCCTGAGACGACCAAGACCCCGGGCTGTTCCCACCTGCGAAGCGCAGGCCCGACCCATAGCTCTGTTCTCATCGCCCAGAGCAGGACCTAGTTACCGCTTGACCAGCTGCCTGGAACATTCCAAGGCCACTGACCCGTGCGGGTCCGCGAGGCCGCTCAGCCGAGTTTCACGGCCGGGCGGCTGCTGGCTGCGAGTGTGCCGGCGGACCCGCCCTCCCTGCTCAACTGCGGTCCCGCCCCCGCGGGCACAGGCCACTTGGCTCCCAGCTACCAGCAAAGCCTCAGCCTGGGCTTCCGTCTGCCACCAGCCTCTGGCCCCAAGGAGCCCACGCTCTCACAGCCGCCCCCCGGGGAGTTTCGCGTCATGCCATTCAACCACGACCGAGAACGGGCGGCGCTGGCGCCAAGGCCCTTGCCCAAAACGGGGGGGACCCCAAGAGGGCAGCGGGCCTGGAAGTCAGAGCCCGGCCGCCCTCGCGATGCGCTGCTCCCCTTCCTGCTGGGACCCCCAGGGCCCCGCGTGGAGCCGGTTTAGGGATAAACGATGCCACGCAGGCAATTTGGCGCTGCGCCGTGTCCGAGCAAGCCACCAAGGCCGGTCACCACAATCGCGACGGCCTGCACACCACACAGCCCCGCGTCCCCAGCCGACATCCGCCTCCCGCCCCCCACCCCCCCGTGCAGAGCCGGGGGTCGGAGCGCGTGAGACCAAGACCGGCAGGCCCAGGCAGCACCTCCTGGCCCTGCCCCCGCTGGGGACTGGCAAGGGGCTGCACTGAGGGCGGCGGCCCGACCGAAGCCCCTGGAGGACAGGCACGTCGAGGGCCCATCTGCGTGTGTGGCCAGCAAGGCCCTGGATTCCCAGGGGCAGAACAGGCCACGGCTTGAGCTCCGTCGGTCCCTGGACTGCACGGGACCTGCCTTCTGTGGAAGGGGACGGGAGGGAGCAGATAGGGGTGTGGACGAGGCCTCTTCTTGCAGAACACGGCCCCTGTGGGCTCAACGGGGCAGCCCACGTGGAGGGACCCCAGGTCCCTGTCACCTGGGGTAGCGGCACTTCTGTCTCTGTCACGCCCTGCCTGGGGGCCACAAGGCTCCTCTACCCTAGCAGCGCCCGGCCCCCGCCCCGCCGGACGGACCCCCAGCCCCAGGGCTGGGCACGCCCTCCCCCACTCTGAGGTCAAGGCCTCGGGCTCTGCCACAGCCCAGGCACCCGCGCACCCCAGGGCCAAGGCCGGCTCTGCCTGCTGTCACCTCATGGCGCCGAACCCCTCCCCAGCTGGGCGGGAGCGCGCCGAGACGTCGCAGCCACAGCCCCTCGGCGACTGAGAAAGGACCGGGCTGGGCCGGGCCCTCCTCGGAATTCCTCTCCCGATCAAGAAAAACAAAGCGCCAGCAACAAAAAAGGCAGAACGCGAGTCCCGGGGATTGAAAGAAAATTCCGAGGCAGCTCAGGAAACGGCTGGGCGGGGCAGGGAGGGGCGGGGCGCCTGGCACGGGCAGCCGGGCTGCGGGGCTCCGAGGGGCCAGGCGCTGACCGCGAGGGGATTCCAGAAAGACGCTGCCCCTTCGTTTCTGCGTATTTGACACCCGACTGAAACACCCAGCACAGGGATTCTACAGGAACTTTCGTAAGTAAATAAAATCATCACAAGCAAGAAGCAGCGCCCCGTTCTGACCAACAAACTTCTTTCCTCCCGGGGCCCCTGACTCAGCATCAGGGGACATGGGGTCTGAGGGCAGGCGCCCAGGCAGCTCACGCACGCTGCCCCCCAGGGGTGCGGCCCGGCCTTCGGGGCGCTGACAGCCCAGGGCGCAGGGCTGGCTGTGCCAGGCCCCCTACGGTTGACGGTGCAGGGACGCCTGAGGCCCGACGGCCACACACCGCCTGCCGGACAGCCCGCAGCGGTTTCCAAAGCCGCCTCTTGAGGAGAGGACTCAGTCTCCCACCAGGGCCGGCCGGCCCACCTGTAGCCACGCTCTCTGCATAGGGTACCCTGGGGTGCTGAGTGGGGACGAGCGAGCGGCAAGGCCAGCCTCCCCTGCCACCCGCCTGGTCCTGCGGGGACATTCCTGAGCTCCTGGAGTAGGATCTAGACCCACAAACCGGGCGGCAGGGGTGCCAGTTGGGGCTCAGGCTCCCTGCCAGCTGCCTTCCCGTGTTGGGGAGGGGACGGGCCGCCTGCTCAGCAACCGGCCCTCCCCTGAAAGGTCGCCTGCCCTGTGCAGCACGGCCGTACTTCCCACACCGGGGCTGGAGAAAGGGGGCCAGGGTGGCTCTCGGTACCCCACTCCAAAGTGAGGCAACAAGAACGTGGCCCCTGCCCGCCCCTCCCCACTGACTGAGCCCCAGGCGCCAGGCCAGCACGGGGTGCTGTTCTGACCTGGGGCCTGCGGTGCACATGCGTCGGGTCCCAAGAGCACCCTGGCCTCTCCAGCTCAGCACGCGTCCCCCACACGCGCCCCCTCCAGACCTAACTAGCACTCACAGGGCCACCTCGCCCGGCCCGGCACCCTGAGCTGCCCGTGACGTTCGCTAGCAGACACGTGAACCAGCAGCAAGAGTTCAGTTCCACGGAGCCAACGTTCTCAGGGTCATGACCTGGGTAGCGGCCAGCCAGTGCCAACGTTGGTGGGGCAGGGAAAGGTCGCGCGCTGACCCAGCTCCCCCGGGTGCGGGGGTGGGGAGACGCTGCTGCTGAAACACAGGTGGTGGGAAGGCGGCCACCACGCAGCATGTCCGGGGCAGGGCTGAGCAGAGTCCACGCGGCGAGAGCAGGCCCCGCCATCTCATCAGGAGACACGCCCCCCGGGGCCTCCCTGGAAACACCTCGGAAGCAAAACAGAGCACCACATATGCGCACAGGCACCCAGCTTTGCCACACATGCCCAGGCTCGCGCACACACGGGCACAGCTTTGTGCACACACATGTTGCGCACACACACATGCACACGCAAACAGCTCATATACATGTGTCCACGCACACGGGCGGCATGGTCACATGTACACAAGCCAGGCTCATGTTCACACAGAGGCCGGGCCCACGGCCGTGACTCCTCACCTCCTCAGTGAGGCAGGCACCCGCCGGCTCCGCCCAGCAGGCGTTTCCGTTGCCAAGGAAGTGCCTATCGGAGGCTGCACTTCACCACCTCCAACGGGGCCTGCGGAGCTCTAAGCGCTCCAGACGCCAGGCTTCCACGGCTGCAGTTACGTGTGACTGCCCCGGCGGGGGCGAGGGCGAGGAGCGCCGAGGTCTGCGGCGGAGTCCTAGGAGGCCCCACCCGGAGCGGGGAGGGTCGTGGGCAGGTACCAGTCAGCCGGGCCTTTTTGAGAGAAGCCAGCGGCGGGCTCTCACCGGCCCAAGGTGAGCGCCCACCTGCCAGCGCCCACACCCACCCTCACGAGCCCTTCCGAGCTGCCCCAGAGGTGGGGAGCCGCCTGAGTCCCCGCTGCGAGACCTGCCGGCACCCACCCCTGCAGGAGGCGCTGCACCGCGGCCTCCCTACCAAAGCCGCAGGGTGAGGACACGGCGCTGCGAACGGCCGTCCTCCTTTGCCGTGCCCCGCTCCCCGCGTCCCCGGGACAGGCTGGGACCCGTGGCACCACGTCCCCGGAGAATGTACCAGAGCTGCCTCCTCACACGCCCTCAGGTCACTGGCAGGCCGGGCTTCTCCCGGGACATAGAACCGTGAGCACAGCACCCACCCAGCAGTCTCTCTCCAGAGCCACTGGTAACAAAAGCCCACGGCCGGCAGGCGCCTCTCCCAAGAGGGCTGCCGTGGAGGCTTCGTTCTGAGCAGTAGGCGACCCTCCTGCACGCTCTGTCCCTGCCCCAGGCAATTGCCCAGGGCTGCCCCGAGGCTGTGCCTGCTGCCTGTGCCGTTCCCTGGAGGTGTGAGGGCCAGTTCTCAGAGGGAACTGGGAAAGCAGTGTGCTCTTGTCCCCTGCGCCTTCCACGAAATCCCCCAAGGACAAGAGTCCCACGGGAACTGGGCCACAGGAAAAGAGAGCAACATCTGCGTTACAGATTCTTCCAGGGAAAAGACCCCAACTGCGTGTTTTATTCTTGTGTTTCCATCAGCAAGGCCAAGGACGAGCGCCCCTGCCGCCCCCCCTCCACCCCGCCCAGGCAAACGCTGCTTAGAACTGCGGGGGACAGGGTGCTGGCCCAAAGCCCACGGCTGAGCTGCAGCTCGGGTGCCGCTGGACAGGGCCACAGCCCAGCATCTCTACCACAAGCCACAAACTCAAGCGCAGAAGCAGCACCGTCCCTGGACCGGACTGAGGACCCACCCGACTGGCCCTGGGCCCCACGCACAGGCTCAGGCTGTGCCCCGGCGGGGCCTTCGTGTGGGCTGGTTTCTGCCTGACCGGCCTGCCGAAGCCGCCCGACCTGTACTGGCTCTGTCGGGGAACCTTGCGCTCTCCAGCGACGAAACAAAAAAGCGCCAGGGCGGGCACCACCGACTGGCAGGGGAAGCGCAAACCCAGCCTGCCCATGGGGCGGAGCAGGCCCAGGCCCTGGCCCGGCCCAGGAGCGCTGACCCCGGACAGACACAGCCGCGCCAGTGGCTGTGCGCCTGCCCCCCCGCCCCCAGCACCAGGGCCCTCCACACCCCGTCCTCCTGGTTTCCTGCCACCACCCTGCAGACAGGGCTCACTTCAGGTTCCAGACAAATCGCTGCCCCTGTGAGAGCCGCTCAGCTGGAACTGCACGCCCGGCCGCCTTGCCAGGTGCAGCTCGTACAAGCTGGATCATGGGGATTCCCTGGAGCCACGCCATGCCACGCCACGCGCCCCTCCGAACTCTCACCGCAGAAGTTCCCGTTTTACGGTTTCAGTGCAGAGGCAGGGAAACCAGGGAAAGCAGCCCTGCCTGCGCGTCTCTCCGCCCCTGCAGTAAGGGGCAAGCCGTAAAGGAACTAGTGACTGATAACTGAGCGAACCTCATCCCCTGCCAGCGTTTACAGAGCAGAGAGACCTGAAACGTGTAGCGCGGGCTCCACACGGCGCACGCACAACAACGCTCTTCCCCGCAGCCCACGGCGCCTGTTCACCGCGGCTCTAACATGGCTTCAGAACTGACCTAGGCCACCCCCAGCTGGACTCAGGATCCTTCCAGGAGACCTTGCTGCAGCCTCAGAGCCTCTTACAGAAGCTGGGTGGCGGTGCAGCCTGCCCTCTGGGCTCGAGCCGGAGGCGCAGGGTCCAGCTCGCAGCCTCCTGTGGGTCCCGAGCCAGGGAACGAGGCTGGCCTGGCGGGCCCCTGGCTGAGAAGCCATGCTTGTTTAACACAATTAGAAACTGTTGCTCTGCCAGCGCGTCGCAATCCCGTTCCGCTGCCGCGAACCAGCAACTGCCGTGTCAACACCAGCTCCGCGGTCCTCCCAGCCCACCACTTAACCTTCAGACACAGTTTCAAAATAAAGCGCAGCTTTGTCAGAGGCCCGCGCAGACCGCCCAAGGCAAGTCTCCCCCGCGAACAGGCGTCTGGAGCTGCAGCGGGCCTGAGCCGTCCGCCCGCCCGCCCGCCCGCCCTGTTTGGTTGGGGGTGGGGGGTTTAAACCGGGGAGAAGGCTGCCGGAGGAGCAGAAGCCTCAGGGTCTGTTAGCCGGTAACCGAGGCGCACCATGGACGGGGAGGGCCGCCCAGGGGGCTCCTCGGTCACTTCAGAGGAAGATGTGGATCCGACCCGACTCTTAACACACATCTGAGCACAGGCAGGCGCGCCAGCCTCCTACACAATTAGTCTTCTCCCCTCGCGGTTACATAAGATAATGGATTATCTGTCCACCTATCCAACCTGCCCGTGCGACCTCCCACCTGGGCCACGGCCACTAGTGCTCGGGACGGAGTTGTGAAGAGAAAAAGCCTGTTGAGAGAAAGTGCCCAGAGGCTTGGGTAACCGCGCCTGCGGGGGCTACCAAGCCGACCGGGGCAGTGCGACCCGCGGCCGCGGGCGCCGCAGCCCCCGGACCCCGGCCGGGGTCCCCGCCGCCGCAGCCCCGGGGCCCGCGCCCCTCCCCAGTCCGTCCCGGGCGCGAGGGGGGCGCGCGGGGGCAAGGCGGGCTGGCGAGGCGGGCGCGCCCCCGCACACCTGTGACCGGTCGAGGCCGGGTCCCCGCCGCCGCGCCGGGAAGACCCCTGAGGGCCCGGGGCGGCCAAGTGGGGCCCAAGCGCGCGGGCGGCGCGGGGGCTCACCTTATAGACATTTTCCGTCAGCCGGTGCATCTCCTCTGAGCGCGACAACGACATGATGCTGGTCCGGCTGCACCACGGACCGGAGCAGGGACGCAGGCGGCGGAGGCGGCGGTGGGGGCGGCAGCAGGTATCGACAAGGCTGACGCGCAGCGGACGGAACCCGACCAAAAGCGCGGTGGTCCGCCGGCGGCCACCTTTATAGGCGCTCAGGCCCCGCCCCTAAATGGCCCCGCCCCCGAGCGCCCGCCCCCGCCGCGCCCGGATCGCCACCCCAGCAGCCCGCCTCCGCCCAGCCCGCCGCTGCTAGGCAACCTGCAGGCCCCGCCCCCGCGCTTTCCTTCCTATTGGTGGGTTCCGGAGGGGAGGAAAGGGGGTGGGAGAGGAGGGCGGGGCACAGGGAAGAAGCGCAGGGCAGTGACTGGCCGGCAGCGCTGTCGATCGCAGAGGAAGAGGCGGTGGCGCGGCGCGGGCTGGGGCCCTGGGAACAGCCTGGGGGGGTCGGGGCGACAGCCGGGCTGGGGGCGGGGAGGCGGGGGCGGGGTGGCGCAGGAAGAAAGGAGCAGGAGGTGGGGGTGCGGGCGGCCGAGGCGCGTGGGGGCGGCGCTTCGCGAAGTAGCGAGTCGGGGCGGCCGAGCCTCCCCGAAGGCGGCGGGGTCGCGGGCTCGTGCCGGGAACGGACGGTCCCAGACCGCTCGGACGCCGGCCGCACGGGCTTGGGGAAGGGTGGGAGAGGCCGGCGCGCTGCCCCGGGGGCCCGGCGCGGCGCTGTCGCAGGTAAGTCCGCGGGGCGGTGGCGACCCCCGGGCCGGCCCTGCTATGAAGGGAGGGAGAGCGGGCCCCGGCGGAAGGCAGGCTCGGGGCTAAGACCCTGGAGGCGGGTGGGCCTCGGCGTAGGAGGGTGGCGGGGAGGACAGCGGGGAGTGAGGATTTGAGGGCTCCGGAGAGGGGGGGCAGGCGGGGGTGGGGAGAAGACCCTGCCGGGAGGGGGGGAACTCTTGGGGGCCCTCGTGGGGGCGGGAGATCCTCGTTGGCCGGAGCTGTCCTGCGCGGGAAGGGTCTGCGGTGGTGGAGGGGGCGGGGAAACCTGGGAGGGAAACTTCCTGGACGACGGATCACGGGGTCAGCTCTGCCTGGCTTTGAAGGAGCTTCCTGGGAGGTTCTGCGGAGGAAGCTGACCGGGCTGGCACAGTGGGTTCCCAGTACACGTCTTTCGGAGAAATATTTACATAAATTAGACTAACATGGGGGAATTGTTTGCTTTACGTTGTGAAACACAAGGTCTGAGTGTTTCCCTTCGACAGCCTGGACAGCCTGACGCTGTCCACCAGCATCCCGTCCCTGGACAGCCCTCGTGCATCCCTTCAACAGCGGGCGTCCAGGAAGACTGGGACACCCCCCAGACAGACAGCGAGGGACTAAGCAAGCCCCGAAGTCACAGCGTCCGTGTCCCGGATGGACCTCGCTCTGCGGGCTTCCTATGGGTGCAGAGGGAAGGAATGCTGTGGTCTGGAAGCAGTTGTCTACCTGTTCCCTACCCGCAACCTTGAGTCTTTGCTCACTGATCTTTCGGTTTAATTTCTTTCCCATGGGCGAGTATCTTCCTTTGTCCTTACTGCCCCCGAGGTCCTAAGGTAGATCCTGGTGTTGGCAGTTTCCCGGGTTCTTTCAGTTGTGACAGAGCGCACTGAGCTCGCTCTGACAGCAAGGGTGTTTATCGGTCCACGTCCCCTTTCCTCTGGGGCAGCTTGAGTCATTGCACGCTTCCACGTGAGCCGGTTGACCTGGCGGGGTCACAAGAGAGTCTGGGTGGGTGGAGGGACAGCTGCTGACCCAGAGGGAAGTTGAGGACTGGGACCAGAAGCTTTGACAGGTTGGGCCGGTCCCTCTGGGAGGAGAGTCAGCCTGCAGACCCCAAAGGGAGGAGGGGGGCCCCGTGGTCCCCAGCCCTGCTCCACCCTCTAGGAGGACCTGCTCCTGATGCCTCCTTCTGCCCACCTGGTTGCTCATGTTGGGGAGCGCCCAGGTGAGAGACCCATGCAGAGCCCAGCCCACCTTCCAGGTGGGCTGATGGCTCTGGCTTGTGCCTCCCACCTGGCAGCGGGGCAGGAGGTCATCTGGGAGGGAAGCCCTCGGGCAAGACAGCGTTCATGGAGCACCTGGCAAAAGTGAAAATGAGGGCGCATCGCGCCTTGACACAGGATGCGCCAGAGCCGATGGCAGGCGCGGAGCAGGATGTGAACAGGGTAGTTGTGCCTGCCTCGCCTGGACAACTCAGCTGAGAAAGTCACCGCCTGCCCGATGTTTTCCACGAGCTACCAGAGAGCTTTCCCGCATGGCTGTGCTGGCCCCTCAGCTGGGAGGAGACTGCCAGTGTCCTACGAGGCCTTTGTCACTTTCGTGGAAGCCCCTGCGAAGGACAGTGGTGTCTGGGGTGGGGACCCAGTGTCCAGGATAAGGAGCTGCGGGACCTCCCTCAGCAGGCGCCGGGCTGGGCCGCGGCCGGCTGTGACAGCCCAGCCCAGCGCCAGCTCCCAGCAGCGCAGCTGGTCCTGGCTCCTCGGTTCAGAGGCGTTCAGAGCCCTGCGTGAGCCTGCTTTGGTCCGTGCCACCTCACCGCGGAGACTGTCGGGGGCCGTGAACCTCACGACCTGCCTGGAGGTTGGCCGTCGGTGTGTCTGGGAAGCCTTTACCCAGCCCTGGCGTCGGGCCCACCTCTCTCCGGGACCAGCAAGAGGAAGCCACTGTCACTATGGGACGGGGAAGCTCTGCCCTTCCCGCCTCCCCGTCGGAGGACTAGCAAAAAGGCCAGCGCTGGCAGAGAGCAGCAGCCCCCAGCAGCCCAGGCCGCTGTCCTTGCCCCGGACCAGGCTGTTCTTCCCGCCCTCCGTGGGGGGTGGGGGGGTGGGGAGCGGGCATCTGAAAATGAGCAGCTCGTCCAGAGTCCCCAGAAGCAGGCAGACTGGAATTTGCATACCACTGGTTTCCCCCTGTCCCTTCTGATTGTCAGCCCTCGCCTCGGGGGTCCACGCGAGCAGGGAGGTGTGTGGCCGCGTCGCCCCTCAGCCGCCCAGCTCTGAACCGGAGGGTCCCTTGCCTCTGGCGCTTGCGCGGGCCCCCGCGTGCACAGCGTGCTGAGCTGGGGTCTGGGGCGACCGTCTGACCGCGAGGAGCTGCCAGCGACCCCCGGTGGGCAGCCCGGGAGTGGGGCTGGAAGCAGAATGAGTGCAGCTCTTCATCAGCTTATTTTTAGTCGCGTTATGTAAGTGGCTTCGTCTCAGCGTCACGTAGGGGGGGGTCTCAGATTTAATTACAGGATGACAGGCTTTGCTTTTCAAGCAAGCTGTTCCCTGGCAAGGCAGGCCCGGGGTTTGTGAGTGTCTGCTGAGCAGAAGTGCCCTTTCTGAGGTGACCACCCGGCACAACTTCGCACGGTCCCCTCCTCCGTGCCTTCCCCCGGCCAGCCTGACCCTGCCTGGCCGCCCTCGGCCTCGGGGGTGGCGGCTTGTCTCAGATCCCAGGGGGATCTGCCGGCGAGGGAGTGCTTTTCCCGCCTCCCCCCTCCTGGCAGCCTTCTGGAGGAGAGGAGGATCCGCCCAATCAGAGCACGCTCTTTTCCTCTTTTTGGATTAAAGCAGTCATCGGTAACCGGAAAGTTCCAGAGCAGGAGCGACCAGAGGAACAGAGCTGTGGGGACGGGTGTTGGGAGCAGGGCCTCATCCTGCCTGTCCTCCCCGTCACTGTGTCCACGCCGGGTGCTCCGGGCAGCTGGGCTGGCCAGGATCGCCGGGGAAAACGATCCAGACTGCGTCCAGAGTGCTGCTTCCTGGCTCCCGGCCCGGCCCGGGTGCTTTGTGCCTCCCTGTTATCAGCAAGAAAGCAAGGAGGTGCCTGGGACGTCGCCTCCACGCCTCCAGCACACGTGGCTTTGTCCGGTGTGGGAGGCAGAGCCGAGCTCCCTGCCACGGGCGAGGCTGCCGGCCGTCCACAGACGGGCATGCTGTTGAGAGAGCGGATGCAGAGTCGAGGGGTCACTACCAGGAGCCGGCCACTCGGACACCTGTGGGATGAGCAGCCCATGGGTCCGGGCCCAGCGGGCGTGCCTGTTACAGCAGAGCATGCAGGGTGGAGCCGAGGAGTAAACAAAGCAGGAAAAGCACGGGACCTCTACGTGGCATGTGGGCGAGTGGCAATGAGTCCCTGATGCATTTCAGCGACTCGGGGGGACGTTGCAGACACCAGATGTGTGTAGAGCAGCACACGGAGCCGCCCAGCCCGTACGTGGGGCTCCACATGCCGACTTCTTCCAGAGAGAGGGGATAGGAGGGAGACGCCGACAAGCTCCTCTCCGCCAGGCGAGCCCGCTCGCAGGGACAGCGGGAGCCGTGGCGAGCACACATTGCCTTGGAGCAGCGAGGAGGGTGCTTCCTCCGTGGTCCGCACCCTGCAGCCCCGGGGCAGGCCCCGGTGAAGGGCCGTCTGCACGGTCCCCGCTCAGCGCGCCTCAGCGCTGTCACGGTCACCCAACGCCAGGAGTTCTGGACCATCACAGCCCGGAGGAGCCTGTGGAGACAACATGGAACCCTGGAGCGGAATGGGACAATCAGCAAACACTAAGGAAACTTGAACAAGCACAGACTTCAGCTCTCAGTAGTGTGTCGGTTATAACAAATGCACTCAGCACTCACCACGTTACCAATAGGGAGAACTGGGTGTTGTGGTTGGGTAGCTTTACAATTCTTATGTAAATGTAAAACGGTCCTAAAATTGAAAGTTAATTAAAAGCAGGGCACTAGCGACTTGGACCCGAATCTCTGTTTGGCCTGCAGGTCTGAGGGACAGTGCCCGGCCTCACCCGCAGGCTGGTCCCTGTGGGATCAGCAGGTGGAGCATTGGCCCGTCCTCATGGGGGGCCCCAGGGCCTGCCCAGCCTGCTGCAGCGGACCACCCCGGAGGGCCGCCGGGCGCCCGCCCCGCCCCCGCCCCCGCCCCGCCCCCACAGGGCCTGCTGGGGGGCCGCTGGGCGCAGATGCTTGCCGCCCCTCCTGTCTTTTCCTTAGGTTTGCCCTCTCTCACACGCCTGTTCACCCCTGACCTGTCACCAAAATGTCGGCTACCCTGTGCCGCCCCGCCCTCTCCTCCCAGGGTCCGTGAGTGGGCATCTGAGCT